TTTTTTTTTTTTTTTTAAATAGTAACAGTTTAGTATTGCGAGATTGTCAGCAACATTTAGCCATATCTATACAATGTGCATATACCTACATACATTGAGCTTTGGTCCAGCATTGAGAAGACGAGCAAAGGCATTTTACATATTTCTTTTTGGTTATAGCTTGAGTTCTTTGATACGCCTCTACTTGTTCCTTCCTAGCTCCTTTTTGCTTTCTTGTTCTCTCTTTTTTCTTTTTTTTTTTCTTTTTTTTTTTTTTTTTTCCCGGTAATAACGTAAAGAAACTGGAACCATTTGAATGCATTTGATTTCTTCAACCATCCAAAATAGCTTTTTAGTGAAAAACATAAAAAGACAAAATCAGAACAGTGAGTGAACCCTTGGTTCATTATTCAAATAATAATTTTATATATATATATTTTTTAAAAAATTCAATGATCCATAAATTGGAAAACCATTAAACCTTCACATATGACTGAAGAGACTTTTGTTTCATTTGCTGGTAGCAATCTATCTTTTAGTCACATGCAAAATTAAAAGGTATTCAAATGTAATCAATACAGGAAAATTGTTTACAAATGGAAACCAGAAATTTTGCCAGTAACAAAACAAAACAAAATATTTATGGCCCCCCCAAAGATGTATGACTCACACATCATTTATCTTCCTAAGAATCTGTTCAGGCACCATTTATGCCTCATAGCAAAAATTTGTTTATAAAAAAATTAATATAAGAAGCATTACAACACTTTATAAATAATTTACAAAACATAATACAAAATTAGAAAACTGTAAAAAAAATCACTGCACATGGATGGTTTTAAGACTGTGGGATGAACATCATTTTTTCTTCCAAGCTGGCGATTTATATTTATTTTACCTTTTCACTGTCCTAGTTATATCCTTCTGATATGTACTTTGGAACAGAAAAGAGCTTATATAACTGCTGCCAGCATATTTTTAAACATTTAGTATCTTTCATACACTGTTCAGTTAACTTTTCTTCTTGGGGGATTTTTCTTCACAAAATTTAGAGCAGTCCCTGGGCGAACTGGAAATTTAGTTTTTAGGCAAAGAATGGTCGATGGTTTTGTTCCCAGGCTGTTGATGATGGGGGTGGAGCGGAGAGGGGGGGGTGTACGGTCTCAAGGGTGGCTGAACAGGTAATCGTGTATGTGGCATTAATGACGGGACAATTAGCGGCGTACTGGAGCACGGGTAGGAATTCAGGAGTGTCCGCTTCCAAATAGGATCTGTTCTTCCCTGCTTTCCTGTTGGCTTCTGGGTGGTCTCCTGATCAGTATATAAACTGAATTGTGGCCACAAGTTTAGGGCTGTTTGGTGTAGATAACACGGATATATATCTGTGGATATAGGTACCTGTGGCTAGAGAGGGTAAAAGAAAACCCAGAAGGGCAGATGTTGCTGAGAGGCTCTCTTTACTTCACATATTCAGCTTGGGTAAAGCATCTTTTTTGTCCCTCACAATTTGCCTGTGGTTACTGAGGGTTTTTTTCCCACGGCAGATATTTATGTATCAACAGTCGGAAAAGAGTCAATAACAATTCTCACTCTCCTCCTCATAAAAGCAATACTGAAAATATCCTTAAATATACCCTGCTGAAGCTTAAAGCCTAAAATGCGTTTGCTGGACGTGAGCCCAGCTCGGAGTACTGGATCCTCAGTGCTCTCCAACGCTGACCTTTGAGAGTGCTCACATTTAGAGGCAGTTTCTGGCACAGATGATGGTCTCTGAAGCCTTAAAACTCCACCAGCCATGCAGCAAATACCCCATTCTACAAGGCAAATCCCATTAATAAAATAGTGAGGGCCAGATTCAAAGCCCAGTGAAATCAATGGAAGCCCCTTTCTTTCACTAAGTTTTGGATACAGCCTTGAGTTCTTGAAAGCTGTGTGAGAGGTGTTATTTGAAGACTCCAGCACTTTGGGAACTTCCTTCGACATCCCGGGTAGACCAGCAAAAATCCTGTACAACCATCCTGAGGTCACTGAACACAATCAGGAGTTTTACCAGCAGAATTTTACTCTACCACCTCTACAGTGAGCTGAACCAGATCCCCAGTGTTATCTTTTGTAAAGTCCTGACCAAGATGCAGCTTCTACCCTAATAGCGGGCTGAACCCCGAAGGCTGGAGCAGAATTCAGCAGAAGATGACAATCGCAGGTGACCTTCACAGGTCAGCCCATACCCCATCCCATTGAGAACCTGCAACGCCTTTCTCTCCCTCTGAGCCTTGGTATGCTTGTAGGTCCAATGACCACAGTATTTTAGAAGATGCTTGTCCAATCAAAAAGGAAGCCACAGAAATAAGGTGTCTTTAAAGGAAAATCAATTCACCTGAAACATATTGCAGGTGACCCACCTTACTATTCCCAAAGGATATTCAATGGGTTTCCCTATATCCTGATTACTTAGTCTAGCCAGCGGTCACAGGAAACACCTGCAGAAACACATCCTCCTACTGAAGAGGTCGACAGGCAAACATCAATATCGGGATGACATAAAAAATAGGCAGAAGGAACAAAGCACTACCATTGAAACAGTCCATAGTGACGCAATGACCAAAACATCCTCATCACTTCTCGGCCTGTCCGTTTGTTTTCATCAGAATCTCAAGAAATTTCTTTGGCTAGCAGACTTCGGAGAGAAATTGCTTCAAACAGAACCATAATATAGATGTGGTACTGAACCAAGCGTGCAGTTTATATTTATACTACAAAATGAGTTTTGGTAACCTCTCCAGGTTTATGGCCAAAGGACAGAGAAATCCCAAGCTACACAGTTGACAGTGAGCACAATGTTCAGCGTGGGCTGACAGTTCATCAGACAGAATCCTAATCCTTCTTTGTCCTCTATTGCATTTCAGCATATCAATATAAAAGTGTTCAGATTTCACTTTTCTTTTTAAAAATATTCAAACAGTACTGGGTAATGTGCGTTTGGGGAAGGGGTGGAGAATGAGCTGGAAGGAGGGAGGCAGCAAAAAGAATCAGAAAAAAAAAAAAAAGAAATGCAAACCAAGACATACACCCTTAGAAGAGAACTACCAAACCCCGCAAATCACAATAAAAATAAATTATTTTTGGCACCCAAACACTTGGAGATTGAAAACTGTTGACTAAAAGAAAAGGAAAGAAAAGAAAAGGAGGTGACCGCTCTGGGATGGCTTTAACACCTGTTTGTACACACCTGCAGGGGGTGTGAACAAGGATGAGAGAAATTAATCTTGTTGTTTTCCTCTTTGCAAAATACAAATGTAAAAATTCGTAACACAATTTTACACTCATAAAAGAGTAGACTAACAATCTAGTTTGCAATGCCATGTTTCTGACTTTGGTTAATAGTTTTCATAGTGAATCAGCACTTGATACCTGGATACTCCTCCAGGTGGCAGGCTTCTATTCTCTTTTAAACAGATAAAAGTTTTTTTTTCTTTTTTTGTTTTTTTTTGTTTTGTTTTGTTTTTCCTTAAAATGTGTTCACATTTTCATAATATACAGAAAAAAAGTAAGCAGTTATTTGGTTTACTTTAAGTCCATTTAAAAAAACTGGCTTTTTATTTTTTTTGGGAACTAATTCTACGGCACACACACACTAAGTGTTGTGTATTTTTTGTTTTTTTTTTAAATAGGAAAACCCACAGACATTTATAAACTGTTCTGTCCTTCTTGTAGTTTTCTCAGTCTTTTACTTACAAGGGTGATGAACAGGTATTTTCACAGAGTTCGAATGGTTACGTTTCTGTTGGTGCGGGTTTTTTTGTGTGTGGTTTTGTTTTGTTTTGTTTTTAGGAGTTTTCTTCCAGAGAGTCTGTTAAAGGCTCCATAGGAACTGCTGTCGCAGGCTCGTGTTGTTTCAAACGTTTAATTGTGTTCTTCAGTGCTTGCCTCTTATTGCAGAACCAAACTCTAACTACTTCCCGGTCATAGTTCAGTTTCTCTGCAATCTCTGTCATTTCTTGCCCAGAGGGGTGCGTGTTCTTCTCAAAGTGGGCATTCAAGATCTCAAGGGCTTGTGGCGTGAATGAGGTACGCCTCTTGCGCTTTTTGGATGGTTCGCTTCCGATAAACTCGGTAAGGTTCTGCATACCTGCTCGATGGCGGGCCTCAGCCTCAGCCATCCACCGCTCAAGCACCGGCTTTATCTTCTGGGCACTTTTAGGGGTGATGTCCAGCTTTTCAAACCTGGCAGGATACAAAAGGCCAGGGTTCAGTTTGGCTGTCAGACTGCTAGCTATAGTGTTCTCTTGGGCTTCCTGTGGTAGGAAAAAGTGGCTTCTCAGGATGGTGTGTCTGAGGGAAAATTGAGAAAGAAGAGTCTTACACTGATGCTCTGCCAGGGTGGGACTTCCTGCCTGCCTGACTAATTGACTGGCAGAGGTAATTTACAATGGATTACGACAACTGTCAGATAGGTATATCTATCTATCTATATATATATATATCACTAGATATTTAAGCTAACATAAAACGAGCACTACAACAAAATTCTAAGTACACTAAATAATACAGCTTATGAGTCGCGTTTTCATATTTCTGACGATCTTCAAAACCCTTAAGGCTATGTCTAATTACAGGAAATGACATCAAAGGCAATTGCTCTTTATCATCTCGTCTTTGTGATTAATCCTTTTGTTTCCCCTCCCATCCCATGTTGTCCAAACACCACAGCTTTAATAACACAAACCAATGGCAGTTACTAGCCTCTGAATATCAGGTTTCCTTTCCTTTCATTTTTCAGCAATTTTCACTGTTTGCAAGTTAATGCTATATCCCTTTTCTGGGTCGGAAAAAGATTCCCATAGCTACGGTGGTGTTCAGCTGAAACAGCTGGGCACTTTGCAATTATCTTGACTGCCCCCACAATGTGCAAAGACAGACTCATGTTTTCCAGATGAAACCCAGCATAATAGTCTACTAATATGCTGTGGCACCAAGCTGGGTTTATTGTGGGATTTCTGCAAACTGTACCAGAATGATATCATTTCCTGTAAATGAGGTCTTCTATATATCATTTTGCCATCAAAAGTCTTTTGCCAAACCAGATTTTACAAGTATTATAAAACATATGGAAAAGCAGCCACACAAAGCTTTAATCCTCTCAAAAACAAGCAGAAGAGCTGAGTTCACATTTCAAGTCTTACAATATAAGTACTTGTTTCTTTCATTTACTGAGTTCATCCTCTCTTGCTATGCATTAAAAGAGTCTTAACCCGACTCCTCTGATACCACCCGTTCGTATTTCCCCACTTCGTCCATGTCCACCCTGCACATTGCGGTATTTAACGTTGCAGAAAGGCAACAATTATTGCACGGTGCTGCTGCTCTCTCCAGCCCGCACGGTGCTGAAGCACTGCCGCCGCCACCACTAATCACGATGTGATCTCGCGATGAGACTGACCGAATCAATGCCTTTGTGCAAAGCAACTCGGTGACCGGAGTTGGCAATTTTTAGCATCTCTATTCAGCACGTGGCAGCTGCAGAAAATATTCTAGCAAGAAACTAAGCATTTCTCACAAACAAAGAATAAGACAAGTAATAATTTCAGATAATAACACTCCAAAGAATTTGTAACTGGTGCCTGGGATCCTAGTGTGATATTGACTGCAAGATGTCCTTCCTTGGTGTCCAGTGACATTTCAGGCTGAAGTGTATGTTTTAGAACGCATTGTCTCAAGTTAAGAAAATGCTGTTATTTGCACGCAGAACATATCAGCAAGGTCGTATAGTGCTGATATGACCTGCACAGGCCACCAGGAGACTCTCCTGTCTCGGAGTTGGTCGTTCAACTTGCTTACCTTACTGCCCCTTCCATTACCCTGGAGTTCATACTGAAACTCCTTTGTTACCATTAAAAGAAAAGTTAAACCTACTATTTCTGAGGAACAGCATACTGCCACTGAAGCAGCTTGTCTTGGTGCTTAACAAGAAATGCACAGTCATAGCAGGTTATTACACCCCAAAGCGATATCCATCTGGAGGGGGTCAAAGGAAATAAAAAACCTGATAACCTTACAACCAGCTTCTGCACCCAGTCCTCATGGTCTGAGCAATCTGCCCCTCTAAGGAGCCCTCTGTAAAAGGTCTCCACTTTCTGGGCTTTTGTTAGCCATGTCTGTGCTCCAACTTCGTCTTTATTGGGGTTTTCACGATAATCGGTTAGTGGGGAACCCTTTCTCTTAGTAAAATTCAAACCATCCCCAGTGGTTTTCTCAGGTGTGAGGTAGATGGAGGAAATGAGAAGACAACAAACTAGACAAAAGCAAAGGAAACTGCAATTTATCATTTTAAATTATAGTATGTTCAACAGCAACTTAAGGCTACAACAAATTGGCAATTGCTAAAAACTCCACCCGTTTTAGGCATTCTTTACCAATTGACCACAGGGAAGAAAAAAAAAATAAAATTAATCCTTAGCAACAGGGAGCAATAGCATTCATATCATTGGCATTGCTTGTTAGTGTTGATACTGCAGTACATGTTGTTTGGTATAACGATATACAAGTCTTGAAACAAATTTCCCAGCAGTAGTATCCTTGTATAGACTGAATAAAGGTTATTTTCTACAGGGAGGTATCTTATAAGAAAAAACAGTAGGGGAGACCATAGAAGTGAGAGGATCCTATGGAGCTTTTTGTATTTAACAACAATCAATGGGTTTTATGGAAAATCATTGAGCAAAATGTGAGCTGCAAGCTCACTACCCCATACTGATGTTATTTATAACCTTAGTCTTAAACTGCAGGAAAAGTACACTTCCGTTCTGTGGGGAATACATTAAAAGTATAAAGAGCAGATAAAAAGACAGAGCATTTCATGGATCACCAAGAACAAAATCCACTTAAATGAGCTTAGAGTTGGTTTCTTGGCTTTCACTGATGGAGAAGGACTATAAGGATTGCCCAAGAGGAAAAAGCTGTTACCTAAGTGTGTTTGTTACCTCATGCATAAACATGGGATTACTGTAACACACATACATGCATATACGGTGTTTGCTTCTAACTACTTCAACTCTGTCAAGACTGTATTATCATTTCTTATGATTAGGGCAGATTTCTACTTCTGCTTTGCATATATGGCTTGTCTGTCTGGTTTTTTTAGTAAACATTTGGGTGATAAAAGATGAACAGCTGCTGGTTTGCAAGATAGCAGGAAGGATAATTTTTTCCCTTCTGTGTTGCCTAGGTAAATCATTATTAACATCCTATATGTGAAGTGCTAACCACAGTAATACAGGTTTTAACTTAGCAGGGATGCAACCATGAAATATTTGTTCAGTAACCCTATCTGTAGTAAATGGCACAGTATGAAGAGGGTCAGCTGGTGTTTATCCAGCATCAGCAGGGTCTCCAGCTTGTCTACTGAATTAAGTCTCAATGCCAGGAACATTGTTTCTCACTTGTTTAAAAAAGAAGGAGGGAAAAAAAAAAGACTAAAGTTACTTTAGTGGTAGACAATAAGAACATTTTATCTGCCAGATACCAACACTATTGGCTAATTCAAGTCCCAGATTAACAATACATTCTAAAGACATAAGACTCAAGCACAAGCATGTTCCTTGCAATAAGCCGAATAATTATTAAGAACAAAGAGAGGAGAGGAGAGTTTATGATGTAACTTGTTACCTGCAGATGGCAGACTGGCTATAGGCTGGGCCTTCGGTGGCGCTTAGGGCTTGGCCAACTTGAGTCTGTGTCAGGCCAAGGGACAGGCGCCGGATTTTAAAAGCTTTGGCAAATTCTCGGATTTCTTCCAGATTCACCCCATCCACCTCTCCAGTGGCTGTTTGAGGATCTGTTGAAATATTTTTTTAATCATATCAGTTCTTCGCATCACATATGAGTGGGCTAGGCTTACACCAGCTTTCATTGTCAAGATGTTCATGTTCATTTTTTGAAATACTTATCCCTTCTTCCCCAAACAGAAACAGGCTTGCCTTGTCAGGTGTGTTACAAAGCATGTTCAGATTGCTAAAATGCTAACTAGGCTGCAGTGTTTCCAGGAGCTGGTGAAAGACTTTCAAAGACGTACTTTGCTGCTGAACTCCTGAAAATGGCCAACTCGTCTGCGAGTGAGGCGGTGCCTGGGCTCCCGACTGCCGTTTGTGCCTTGCAAAATCTCCCCCTGGTCGACAAGTCACGTTCCCCATTCCCCCTTCTTATCACATACAGAAGGAAGGCTGGTGTCAATATACTTATTTGCAGTCTGTGGGGAGGGCTAAATAGATGCGTGAACTGCTTGGGTTTTTAATTTGAAATCAAGACTTTCTGCTTTATCTAAAACTAATGCCAAATAAGGAGATTCACAAACATTCCTTCCCTTCTGCACAATACCCAACCCAAACCACCAGCCAAACGTCCAAAATAACGCAGAAAATGAAGAAGCCCAAACAAAATGCTGCCTTTAAAAACTCCTTAATTTAAAAATAATCTTTTAAAATATGCCCTTCCGAGAAGCAGCTTTTCAAGCTTTTCATTCTGCCTCCCATCAGGTTGATAATTAAGGAGCAGCAACATCAGCCATTAGGTTTCAGATGGTAATGCTGCACAATTTTTTACTTTTACATTAGCCCCTCAGAAGATAATGCTTATGATGCTGTGAGAATAAATCTGTCCTTCCTCTCCATAGCAGTTTACTGACACAGAAGGCTTTGTCCCTGAAAGGGCACATAATAAAGCATGTCTGCCACAGGAAAGCTCCTTTGGTGCTGGATAACTCAGTCAATTTAGGACTTATCAAGGGAAATGACACAACAGCTGGAGAATGGAACTCCCCCCCCCCAGGATACTGATACCTGGCTAAATAAAAGCGTTTGCCAAGTTGGAGACAGCATGGGACTGGGATGGTGGAAGATTTCAAAGTGGTGTGCAATCCTGCGTGTAGGGACGCCATCTCCCAGCAAGACACCTCTATTGTTCTTCACCTCATTCCTCAGTCTTCTTAGGTGAAAAGTTTGCAGCACAATAACCCATCAATTTCTGTAAACGCAACCAGTTGTCCAAGGACGGTGCTAGACCACATTACTATTCTGAACCCTATATGAGAGTGGGTCCTGCTAGTACTGCTATAGCTAAGGGCTTGCCAGAATTACAGTAACAAAGCTTTTATTTTCAGGGGTTTATAAACCTGATGTAAAATTCCCTTATGATGGAAATGCCGTATAAAAAATCTTTTAGTTCAATAATAGACAGAGGGAAGAGGTTTTTCTGCTGTATAAGTTTAGCCTATATCAATTCGCAACTTGACTGTAAGAAGCACACATAGCAATAGTATTTTAAAAATACTCCCATATGCAACTGGGGGCTACATGAACTATGCATACAGGTAAACACGCACATAGGCTGAACCTAGTTTTGACAATGCTCCACAATCAGAATTGTCCCTCCTGTTGTCAGTGCTGTGCTGGAGCTCACCTGTGCACACATACATGCACTCATTCACTATAAATCTAGGGCATGTATTATTTGGTTTTAAGTAGTTGGCACTGTGACAGGGGCCACACACGTTTGTAAAGTAATTGCCTTTAGAGGTTTGAAATTTTCCTACTTACCCCATACACAGTCTATCTAGCATACCAGTTCTGATTTTCAGAGATACAGAATGGAGCTGGATGCTTATCTGCCCTTTAGGTCTCTGAAGAGCAACTGATAAATGTACAAAATATCATAAATGATAATGGCCTCAAAGATTTGCTTGAGTGAAGTGCACTAAGATGGTGACCTTCCTCACCTCTTTCCTTCCTTCACTTTAAGGCCTCTGACTAAGGCTATTAGGGATGTGACAAAGGACAATTCAGGTATTCCCAGAGAACTTTCAAAGTAGCAAACGCTATGGCAACTTGCACCTGTAAACCTCCCCAACTCCTGTTAGGAATAAAAAAAGAGGTAAGAAAGCTAAGGGGTTATTTGCTTGCACGTGATTATAGAGAAATTCTACCAAGTTCTGCTGGATCCTTCTGGTGTGGCACTGTTGCAACAGGGAATATCATGGAAAGTCCTTTCCTGCTTGGGGCTCTTGAATGAGTGAACAATTAGGCTGAGCTCTCCTTGAGATGAGAAAAACACCTGTGATGCACATCAGGAATATGGGAGTAGATTGTAATATATGGCTGACTATCTGTTGAGAAAGAAGCTTCATTCTTACATAGCATCTTTGGGAGTAGGAAAGTACTAACAGAGGTGGACCAAAACACTGAAGCCTTTGATCCCTGAATGGTAGGGAAAATAGCATTTGTATCAAATCAGAACCACTTCTACTTCAGGCGTGATTCAAAGGCCTTTGAAATCCATAGAAGCAGTCCCTTGAGTTCTATCAGCTCCATAAAACTCAAATAATAGTACTATGAAGACCACTCTATTGACATCTATAAGAGCACTGGTCTGTTTTACTCTATTGCCATTAAAATGCCATGAATACATAATCTTGGACTCTGTGCACTAATACATACACATACATTAATATATACAAATAGATAATGGACTTTGTTTTAATAAGTTCTGAGCTCTCAGAACAGTTAAGTGTATAGTGCACTTCACATTTTAGGAAGAGTAGCTTATTGAAGACTGTAAATAAACCAGTGCTTTTTAAATTAAGTGGATATCCTAGAGAAGGCAGCACAGTGCCAACAGGAAAATAAAGAATACCAATCTCATTGAGTGGTTGGGATCTACAGTAACAACATTAAAAGATTCCCAACATGCATTATGGCTTGATAAAACAATGGCTGTTGTGTCTATGAAACTACTGGGTGCTGGAGAAAGGTGAGAGTTGTCTGGGATCATCTTAGGGGATATGTGTCTATATCCCCTAACAAAAAGGAAGCCAGCTAAAATTCCCCTACATGTCCTGGTGGATGGTGAAGGTGGGTGTGCAGAGTGGAAGAAATAAAATCTATAGGCTCTTCTGCATTGAAAACCCCTTTTTTGACACTGAAGGGAATACTATTCCACTTTTGAATTCTTCTGAAAATCCTGTGTGAGTTTGTTGGTGAGTGCAAATTTGCTGTGATTTTAATAGTTAGGG